ACCCTGGACGATCCATGTGAAGTAAAGATTTCGGATATAACCCTGAAAATGCATCAGATAAATACAGAAAATATAACGTATATGAAATTAGCAATAATGAACTTACCTGCAGTATACTTGCCTGATGAAAAACCAGCTGCAGAACCCCTGGACCTGAAAGGCGTTGACCTAGAAGACTTGAAACTTCTATCATTCGCCATGAAGAAAAGTGTCAGTGAAAGAAGTGAATGTGAAAAGCCAATTATTGAAGTGAACAGTGTAAGCGTTTGGACACTGATTGTTTACCTTATAATTTTTGTTTTACTCTGTTAAGAAACATCTTGTTAGGAAACATGTTCATAAGTATCGTTTGAAATTGTTTAAATCATGTAAATTATGTAATCGAAGTTCCTCTCAAGAAGCGAACTTCGATCTTAAGGAGGGAGGAGTTACGTCTGTTGACTCAGCCGGAACGTCAAGTCATCATAACATGCCTGGCGATGTTGATCCCACCATAACCCGGAGTCAGCATAACATTTTCTAGAAGCCAGACGCTGAATCGGCAGACGGAAACTGATAAGCTCAACTCGGGCTGTCAACATGTTGTTCTCTTAGCCTTTGTAAATTAGTTCATAGTTAGTCTTAAACTGGCAGTTGGATTGGAACGAATAAACGTCTCCATTAAAAATAAATTGTATTTTTAAAAGATCCTTCGACTCGCCCACGTCTTGACTATCTACCCTTTTTGTTTTAATCTAAGGTGCAGGCATGCTCTTAGGTAAGACGGAACGTGTAGCCGGGGTATTAAAGATCAACTTTTGAATCGTCTCGAATCTAAGTTTAAAAAATCGACACGTATTAATAATGTTAAAGAAGGTTAATTCCGCGGAAATCTTTAATCGTTGTTTTTATAGAAGGTGCTCACCTAACTGTCGATTTCATCATTAACTAAGTAGTAAAACAAGTAATTATATTTATTTCTATGCTGTTTATTATTTAACTGAGTCTTGATTTATTTGTATCTGACTTGATCTATTCATTGCGTAAAATCATTCTATACAAAAACATTTTTTTTATTCATTACCATCGATTATTCGTATATTCAATTTCAGATCATCATCACCCTACCCTATTGCAAATGCAAACGAGCGGGGAATTGTCAATTGTTTTGCATGTTTTGTTGTTACTCCTATTTTTGTGTTGATTGAGATTTTTACATAAATTGTGAATGTGTGAACATATCAAACGATCTTTTTTCTATATTGTTACGACAGGCAAGACGTTATCAGGAAAAAAACAGTACATTCACGACAGGACGTTTATTTACCGTATGTGTGTTTGTAGTGTTCTCTACTCACATATTAAGAACATTAAAAATGTATTCTACTTTAAATGAGGAATCGATGACGATTAGACTATTTGACTGGCTAAACCAGTGTATTGTATTGTAAAACTGTATTTCCAGGGCCCAAGAGGTGATACTTGATTTTTTTTTGTAGAAGAACAGTTTAGCCCTCAACATATTATTACAGTCATGGATAACTTCTACTCAGGTGAGCTAATATTGTTTGTCTAATGTCATGTGCAACTAACTGTATGAAATATATATTAACTATTTTGTTTGACTTCTTAAAAAAGTAATAACAGTTCTAGATACTTAGGTTAGGAATCATTTACTATCACAATCGTATGACAAAACTATTATTAGGTACTGTGTATTATTATTGCATATCATACTTAATTACTAATCCAGAACTAAGATGTTTGTAGTAGTCATGGTAACATTTAGATTTTATTTGTTTTGTTATCACTAGACAGCTTATAGATGATGAGAGAATACAGAAATTCCTACATTGATTTGTAGACATCATATTTTAACTTTTATAACTCAAAAGAGTTAACTTGAGACCTATCAAACTGTTATTTTAAAATAAACAAAAAGGAGTTTTCCATATTAATTATTTATTTCTTATTAATGTTATCTTTTTAGATCTCTAGAATGGAACATGTATGTGCTGCATGTTGGAGATCAGCATTTCAACAAGTACAAAGGCAACAACAACATATCTCAAATCGCCTTACTCTTGGAGATACTACATTAAGTGGCAATCGTTCTATACCTGTGCCACCTCCTCTGCCACAACCAAGACTAGAAGCAGTTCAACAAGTGACTCTAAAAATTTTATCATCATCATCATACATGCTTTTAACTTTCCTGGTCACTGTGTATTTGAATTGTTTAGAGCCTGAATGTCTACTTATTTCATCTACCATCAGGGATCTCTTATTGTATAATAATAAATTATGCATACCAGCTGGTGAATGTGTTTGTCATCACTATTTCAATTATGGTTCATGGAATGAATTAACATCTTAAATAAGAGATTTTACTGGCACAGTTTGATAATATAATGATTATGATACATTGATCAGCCAATTACAAATTAGATTTTTCTAATGTTTCAATTATGTCTCCTCATTTAAGTCATTATTGGCTAGGTATGAACTCTGAACAGTTTTATAATTTGCTCAACTGTATACCAATCTAGCAGATCAAGTCCCAACGCTTCTATAGTCTTTTGTATTTATTTAGTTAAATTAAGGACTGCTGATAGCAATGAAAGATTGGCCACTCTTTTCAATAATCCTGGGGCTATATTAGAATGTTGTAAGACAAAAGCTAGAAATTGTTTGAATTTATTTGTTTGTAGATGATATTCCTCTTGTTTTAGGTCTAAAGAATTATTTATTAAGAGGTAGGATTAAATCCAGACACTTAAGCAGCGTACATATAACTCATATTTACTTATCAGTAGAGATGCTGCTTTGGCAGACACATTAGAGGCTATAAAAGGTTATTATTGCAGCTGTCTCGTTGGTAAACAACCTGTGGACTGTTAGGACCACATAATGACTGTAGTTTAGTTTTTAAGTTGGGGTCTTTACAATGATGTTACTGCTCTGGCGCCTTATTTTGATTATTTTTTCCATGAAGATTATATGATTTGAAATATACTGGTAATTCAAATATTATGTGTACAATTAATATATGTAATCTAATAAAAAGTGTCCTAGACTAATGTTTTTATTTACCTATACGTATATCTGCCATCACTGAAATCTGTGTTGTCATGAAAATCTATGCAGTAGGTTGAAAAAACAGTGAAAGACTCAAGTTGATCAAAAGTAGGTAACACAATAAAAAAGTACCCAAAATATCTGTAAACCTAACTTTAAATAGGAGTTATTAAGGATTTGAAGTTATGTCACATTTTTTACAATAACATTAAAACCCCTGTTTTTATTTTCATAATTCCAATTTGTCATACTAATTTGAATATTAAACGATCATTTAACATTTGTTTGGTATTGATGCAACCATTGTACGGCGATCCATACATCAATGAGCATTCTCCTATTTGCTGATTAGTTAAGTATTAAACGTTTGTTAGGTGCCTAAATCGTTTATTAATACAGGCTTGGTTTTTATCAACAATCCTTTCCAATGTTTGCAGTTTTTCATAAATAAATATTTCGAAAAAAAATAAGAAAAAACATAACAAAAGAAATAAAATAATAATAGTTGGTAAAAAATAAAACTTTTACGTGTTTACATTTTTGTAGGTTTCTAATTATTATAACGCAAAAAAAACTATGATCTTTTCACATTACTGACATGGGTAAATCTTGAGTAACGTGTGGATATATCACACTTTGAGATTAAATAATGAGAAAAAAGTGCTTTCTACAAAATTGGGGTCATTTCGGTTGAAACGTCCATGACGCCGACGGCGACGTCACCATTTTCATTTTCACTTAAGTTCAGAGAGAACTGCATTTATATTAACAACGCCATCTACATATTTTGCCTTAAGAGACCACAAGCATCGATAAGGATGCTTTTTAAAGCGTGCAAAAAATAGTACCGCCAACAGCTTAGATTAAAACAAAAAGGGTAGATACGGTACGCTCATACTTGCATCAAACAAAAACTGATCCCACGGCAGCGCGAACGGGACGGCGAGATCCACGTCACTGCATTACCGACCCGAACGAAATAGCACGTTAAGTTTCAACGGCAGCGTGAACGAGACGGCGAAATCCGCGTCACTGCACTACCGACCAATCACGCGACCTGTACTCGACGTCACTACCGAATAAGATTCAAAACAAACAGCAATTTTTATGAAAAAACATATTTTAAAGTACTTACGAATGAAAAGTGATGCTGTGGGTGTTATTTTTAGTTCTTGAGCAATGTGAGCACTTTTTAAAAACACACTTAGGCATTGTTTTATCATATAAACACAAAATATTAGCAATATTTCTTTTTGGCGTTCACATGTACGTCGTTTGCATGTCAAGTTGTGACTTAAGCGATTAGGGTCGTGGACCATAATTAATGCGGATCACTTTTGTGAGGCTAGTGCCGTATCTTCCCTTTTTGTTTTAATCGGCAGCAAAGAATGCCAATTTTTTTTTTTTTTTTTTTTTTTCGTTTGTCCTTTCGGACAGGCTAAGGTCTGGGACCATACTGCCTCGTCATTAGTTATTTTTCTTCTTTTTATTATTAAAATTCAATATAACTTCCTCAGTTTGATCAAAGAATGCCAATGTAAAATGTAAACAAAGATAAAGTTCGTGACAGAAACCTTAGCAAGTACCTACCCAATTTATTGTAAACAAACCGCGTTTTAATTCATATGATCCAAGCGATCCGATCTTTCAAGTTTTGTAACGATCCGGCCAAAAAATCGTATGGCCTCGATCCGATCCGAAAATCAACGGATCGTATGGCTTCCGATCCGATCTTTCAAAGGATCGGATCGGATCGGCGCATCCGTAAGTTGGCAGTACTGTTTCAAATGCTTCGCGCTATTTTTTCTTTTGCATTGGTAATAACAATATTAAAGAAAATGAGCGTGAAGTATTTGAAAACCTTCGGGCCTAGGGGGTATTTCCTAGGCCGCTGTTACATTAGTAGGTAACTAAATATTTCTTCTGTAAAATACAATACTTACACTAAACTCGGGAGAATATAACGGCACCGCGGGAACAAAACAGGTTAAATGGTGGAGGAAATAAAATCTTATTTTGGTTTTCGTTCGTTTCGTGCCACTGCATCGAACACAACTTGATGTAACCACAATCACTGTACTGATGAATGAATCACTGATCTCCGATTAAATTTGATAATACATGACATTCCTCCAATGTTATAATATTGTGCAATCTAGTGATGTTCCTTCTTATTCTAAAACAATTGAATATATTTTCTTATTTCTGTGATTTTTTTGTAAACGTGAATGTGAATTCATATAAAAATGAATTACCATCAACAATGACTAAAAGCTTTTTTATTACAGTAAGTCCATGACTCCATGTAGAGTAATTTCTTTTTAACAGGCTTTTATTAGTTTCATTTCACCTGTATGTTTGTTTGTTTGTATGTATGTAACTGACTCGTTTGGACTCGATTTTTCCCAACTTTTAGCAATCAGATTTACTTTAAACGTTGTAGACTAGGGATGTCGAAAATTGAAAAAAATATCGATATATCGATACATCGATATTTTAAAAAATATCAATATCGGCTTCGATATATCGCGAAAAAAACATCGATATATCGGACCAATTTTCCCAAAAATATATTTACGTCAGCCTAGCACAGTAATAATAACAATACAAATTATAATTAAAGAAAGAATTATCAATGTACCAAATTGCCGCTACACTACATGACAGTACAGTTTCTCACGAAAGATGACACGCGGAATAATAATGGAACGAAAATTATCGCCCTAAAAGTAGACCCTATTTTTGAATGATGAAAATGATTGCAGGGCCTCTCAGGTGCCATCTTTCGTAAACCAGACTAGAGAGTCACACACTTCCACAGAATGTAATGGTATTCAGCACAACCAATTCACCAGCGAAACAGATTTACAAACCATAGACAATACTAAATACAGCACGGATCATAGATAAGTTGAATATCATTAATCTGAGATCCAGTTACGATTTTTCCAGATACGAATTTAGTTAGATCGTGTTATGCCGCTAATAATTAAAAAAAATATATTTTTGATACGAATTTCGATATTGGTTATTTTGTATCGATGTATCGATATATCGAATCAAAATATATCGGCTTAAAATATCGATATATTTTCAACAAGCCTATGTAGACATATCAATGATCGACAACAATACAATATTATGGTACCATCGAGCTGGTCTGATGATGGAACTAGAAGGTGGCTGATGGAACCTTGGACTGCCTACTAATAAACATATTGAGTTTGGGCTCATTAGATTCGTATTAACATTATAGCTATTAACGGGATTGTTACCATGTACCTTGTTTTTTATGAGTCTCCGATATTTCGGCACTGTAGTTACTCCGTGATCATGGCGCTTGCAACAGTGCCGAAATATCGGAGACTCATAAAAAACAAGGTACATGGTAACAATCCCGTTAATAGCTATAATGTTCGTATTAACATGTTCTGTTCATTTTTCCTGATGACTGAAACTAAAATAAATTTATAGCTTTAAAAACTAAAAACGCGCTTTATTTACTGCACTAAAAAGCCAAAAATAAACAAAATATACTCTCTCTTAGGGATGAAACGATAAGAGTAAATACAAGTAACTACTCGGTACTTTTCCTTCGATACCAAGTACTTTTGGCTTCGATACTTTAGAACTGAGTAACAAGTAAAGACCATCAGATACTATTAGTTCTTTTTGTTTGCATAACTTAACACAAGAAGGAGATAGAAAGCCTCTCTTGAGTTTGTTTCACCGGTCCTTCTCAGAAAGGTCTCCCAATTTTGGAATCGGTGGTAGTTTACGGTAGATAGGGTCAAATAAATAAACTCAAAATTACAAAAAAGAATTTTAAATAAAATACTTTATTAAGTAAATTTAAATAACAAATTCATACATAGGTGTCGATTCTAGCATGATTCTCTAAACCTAAACTTAAATTTGACAGCAGTATATCCTTGTCATTCTCTATACAGAATGAAAAGGAGAGACTGATGTTAAATTTAGTTTTAAGTTTAGAGAATCACGCCAGAATTGGCACCATAGACAATAAAACTTTAAAAATCGAACAATGAAATAACCGAACGCTCAATAAAAGTCTTTCGAAGGTAGCTCGACAAATTAAATAAAAGTTTTATTCTGACGACGAAGCCTGTAAAGGCTACGAAACGTCATAAATAAATAAAGTTTCGTGCATTAACCCGTAAAAACTAGTTTTATTTAATGAGTGATGTGCGTGAAAACCTAAGATACAAATATGAGTAACAAGTAGTATCGTGAAGTAAGTACTTGTATCGGTACTCGGTCGGTCACTCACTAAGTAGTATCAAAAAAACTCATAGGCAGATTATTTACTCTATGGTAAGGTGTCTAGGTGGAAATTTTGTTTCGCGAACGCATCTTTGCTACTGCGTAGTTCGTAGTTATTAGTGATGTTACGATCTTGAATTTTGACAAACCGGATTTGATCGGTTAGTAATACATGCAAATCGGTTTCCGAACCGAACCGCCAAATTTTCAGTAAACCGCGGTTTGAACCGGTTTGAACCGTTTGACGAGTTGACGAATGAAACTTACGAAACAACAGGTGCTATTTTTTTTTAATTCTACAATATTTTGTTGAATTACATCGTGCAAATATTTAAAGGTAATTGAAAAATAACAAATAAAATATGAAAACAAATAATAATAATCAGAATTAAAAATGTCAAAATAAAAATAAACAAATATCTATGTAATACCGTGTTTAAAAAATTACAAAAAAAATATATGAACTCTATTAATTACATAAAACCGTACTTCTTAACTTTGAGAATAAAATACAATTTTAATAATCAATAATATAATAAATACGTAACTTATTTTTGTAAAATCATTTGAGTCGTAGAAACTTAATTTGGTACAAACAACTTAATTAAAAGTTTTCTTACAACTATTTAGGAATAATATTTGGTCTATTTTTTTAGAAGCTGGGCAATTACGTCGCATATTACATAATAATGAAAACAAAATTACACCGTCAAGTCAGTCAAATCTACCAGAGTCCGTTTCATTTCGGTGCGGTCGGTAAGTCGGTTATGGCTGTTGTATTTAACTTGACGATGCACGCTAACCGTATCCGCTGCTGTAAGTCGGTTCGTATTGGTCGGTCAAGTTTTATTAGGGTCGGTAAAGCACGTCAGGAGCCGCACGCGATTTGTGGATGGCGGTATAAACAAGAATTGACAGGCGCGTATGCGCGCAGCTCGATACGAACGAATGCCACGGTAGAACCGGTTTACGAAGACGTTAACCGATTCAACTCGGTCCATGCTCAAACCGGTTTGAACCGGTTTGAAAAGTCGAGTCGTTACATCTCTAGTAGTTATTCCAATTTATTCAGTCAGTCCTACATACTAGTATACTCTATGGTCGTACGTCAAGTCATCGCATGGCTGGAGCCGTTATGAGAGTTTTTGGCGGGATTTCATCGAGTTCGGTTGGCGTCGTATTTTAATTATTCTTAAATACGTTCATAGTGGATATTGTGAAATAAAATTGGTGTGGTTTTGTGTAACAACTGTCTGCGTAACTGAAGAATTAGTGGAATCATTAAAATATACGCTATTCCGGTCAAGTGGACGTGAGAATTTTATTGTAGTGTTGACTACCTCACAGAAGCTTATCGAAAAAGCCAACTCGATACATTTCGTGCCAAACACTCCAAGAAACATTAGAATGCGCCATCGACATTCTAATGTAAAAACAAAAAGAAGATTAATTTAATTAAAGACCAGGCTGTATGGGCATTGTTCCCTTTGCCTTCCCTAAAACGGGAGAATTTCAACAAAAAAAAAATGGAGCCGTTATTTTGTTTTCGTTAAATTAAAACTGAGGAGATGGCGAACAAAACAGTATAATTACGCATCTAGTCAAAATACTTTATTTTTCACAGTCCAGAGGTTTTGGGCCCGCTGAATGTGAACCCCTACTCATTTTCAATCAAAACCGCCTAAAATAGTATTAAAATTAATAAATTACAAGCCACGTCATACTCTCACTGTAAATATGTCATTCAGTGTTTTGCTGCTCCTGTTAAATTTAATTTTATGTAATTATACCATTTTGTTCGCCAGCGCCAGCTCCTCAATTGGACGTAGTTACGCGAAAACGTTCCAACCCACAGCGATCCCATTTTGAGATAAACGCAATTTTGTGTTTTAGCGGTAGGACTTTTTCCCTGTAATTATTTCAGGCAAATACTATTGTTTTACTGTGGAATGCCAAACTGGTTATTGAATGATATGCATATTTTTTGTAAATACATAATACAAGGGGCATATAAATAGGTAAAACGAGTTTGAAACGTTTTTGCTAAATTTAATTTTGTATGAACCTTGTTAAATAGCAATTATGCATAAACGTTCCAAAACGAATTTAAGTGTATTATTTTATAAATATATCTAAAATAAATATGTAAAATAATAAATAACAATGAGGAACATGCAAAATCTTGTGATCTTTTGAGCCTATGCCAAAGTTAGCTGATATGGTTCCAAAATTTATCAAAAACTTATATTATAAACATTCAATTTTCATCATCGTATTCTATGATCTCGAAGTCCGGAACTCCACCAAACCCATCAACATCATCAGTAGCTTCTTCAGAACTTTGAAGCGTTCTATAAAATTGAAGGCAATCCTGAGGTATGTAGTGATACATGGATTGTAAGTCCACTAATTTCGCTGGAGCAATCGGTTTGCCATTAGGTCACAATAAACAAAAATCTGATTCTTTTATGTATTGCAGTTCTCGCTTTATTCTTTTATCAATTTTCAACTCATTGAAATCGTCTTCCATCGTAGACCGCATAAAAATAGCAAGAAGCTACCCACTGAGGACCCCGTAACTCTTACGGGCGCTTTACGGCATAATATCCGCTAAAAAACCCTGCGAATACCCTCTAAGCTGCTTAGCACGAAACTGCTTTTAACAGATGAAACTGATGATCACCAAGCTATTAAGTGATCCACTACTGCTTTACTGTAACGCCACTAAGATACTTGTTCTGAAAAGCATCGATGGATATCTCTTTAGTTACACACTGTAAATGTCAAAAAACTTAGCAAATAGCCGGCTGGGCGTAAAGGACGTTTGTCACGGTTACCCTGGTCTACTAACTAAGGTCAGAGAATGAGAAAATGAGACAACAGGATACCATGCAAATTAAAAACTTTAATAAAAAACTCGACCCGGAGAAAATACAAATTATACAGGTGGGGTTGAGCACTTAATCCACACAAGTTCTTTAGCTTCGTCGGTTCAGGTACTGTCCTGTGTAACGCCGGGTAGTTGGTGATCCCGGGAGTCGCTTTATGGATACCGCTGGCGACTGGAGGCTGCAAGAACGGGTAGCTGAGCCCGGCATGCGGCAGAGAGTACTCTCGTGTGGTGAAAGTAGGGGCTGTGGGGTGATACCGGCCAAGTTGGTATCCCGAGCGTTGAACCACTAATAACTACTTTAACTACCTGCGACATTAAAATTACCACTTACCCAGTTTCGGGGCGGTCGACACTCACTTCACAATAATTTATGGTAATATTTATTTGAGGAACGCTTAGTGACGATCACGAAAAATATTATATTGGTTACGAGTTTTAAAGATTATTAAATTTTCCCGTATTAGCGACCATAAAATTCTATGTGACGTACGTTCGCTCAAATTAGATCGAGAAAAAAAATGAATTGGCGGGCGGCCGGTCATGCAGTTTTATCTTAGCAAGAACAAAAGATCCTGCTTGGAGCGCTAAAATGTTGCATCGCGCGAGTTTACGTATACAAATCCGCTTGATGAATTTATGTTGCATTTTAGTGTCAGTGAATAGTTTTATTATTGTAAATAGCCAATTTGTTTATTAATATTATTATGATTTGTAAATAATTTAGTTATAATAAAATTGTGTTTTATTTTTATAAGTAGTTTTTAGTGTAGAATTAAATCTAATAGTGTTATTATTTAGTTTTAGGCATTGTAAATATTAAATTTAAGAGTATTTTAGGGTAATAATATGAATTATGTAACGCATAACGTTACATATACCCCTCCTCGTCTGGAAAAAGGTTTTGTTCTTAAATAAAACCCGCCTTAGACTGCTCTTAGCATTTACTCATTCATTCTTCAACTTCCATTCTATCATTCAAAATAAAACAAACATAAAAGCATCAATAGCATTACTTAAGCCATTGGCGCGTCCTATCAAACTTAAAGTCAGTA